GTATGACTGTGTGTGTGTGTGTGGGGGGGGTGCATGTGGGTATGAGCACACATGTGTGTGTAAGTATACATGCACATATGTGTGTGCCTCTGGAGGCCAGAGAACAACTTTGGACGGTGCTGTTCCTCAGGCACCATCCACCTTTTAATTTTTTTTTTTCTAATAAAATTTTCTAATAGGGTCTCTTGCTGGCCTGGAACCGGCTGAGTCAGCACAGACGCCTGGCTCCCCATTTCCACATCCCACGGACCCTCTGGTCGATGCATCCCCAGCACTAGGATTACAAGGGTAATTCACCCGCCTGCCCCCAACTTTTTTTTAAGTACAGGTTCTGGGGACTCTAAAGAAGGTCCTCCTGCTTGCCAGGCAAGCACTCTACTGACAGAGGTGTCTCTCTAGCCCAGTCTTTTTCAGTAAGTTTTACTTTTTTACTTTTACTTAACATATTCAGTTACAATTGTTCATGGATTATCCCCCCAGCATCAATAATACGCCACTGATACACAGGGGTGCCTGCCCCGCCATCCCCCAGCCCTCTAAGACCCTCCCTCTACCCAGAGCCTTCTGCTGCATTGTGGGGAGGACTCCTGGGTCCAAGAAGATACAGGAAGTGAAACCATGAAGCACACTGAAACGTGCGATACAAATATGAAGGATGATCTGATTTGGTTCACTAAATCAGGCCACATCGGGTTGTTGTTTTGCTCCGACTTTTCTTAGCGTCTGTGGATGCCCCCATTCAATCCCTTTGCATTCAATTCCTCCCACCTTCACTGAACATCTGTGTGAGGGCTTGCTGTGCAGTGAGGAAGGTCCTGTGAATGCCAGGCAGTGCCGTGGGGGGTGGGGTGGGGACCATAGAGTCATCCCTTAGAAACTGCAAGACCCAGGCAGTCTGTGTCTAAGCCTCAGTGTCCTTAGCTCTCAAATGAGACGCACGTGCCCTATTGTCCAGTACAGTTCCTGGCACATAGTGGGTCTTCAGAAACACACCTCGCCTGGAAAGGCCCTTAGGGGGGTCCCCAAATAATATTCTTTCAACTTTAAAGTCTAAATTCTGTGACTCAATAAAGTTAGTGATCAATAGTGTTAAGACCCGTGTATTAGCTGGATTAGGGGAGGTTGTACACTTGGAAGCCCAGCACTCAGGAGGCTGAGACAGGAGGGTCATGAGTCTGAGGCCAGCCTGGGCTACACAGTGAGTTCCAGGGTAGCCTGAACAAGAATATATATGCATTCGTATGCAGTATATGTATATATATTTATGTCATGTATAAGTTGAAACCTGATGCAAAGAATACCAAAGAGGAGAAAAACACATCGCAATAACCAACTCTGACCTCCAGAAGAGGACAGAGCCAGAAGTGGAAGGGTGGACTTCAGATTGACAGTGCGGAGTGTGCAGAGGGACCCCTAATCCTGCTGAGGTCATCCCTGCAACCAGGATGAGTTAGACTGCTCCCGCCCATAGACTTGAACCTCAAAGCGTAGAAGAGGCCACTTTGGGATCAAGAGAAGATCTGTGACTTTCTGTGGGTTCATACAGAGAAGGCTCAGAGGAAGTCAAGTCTGGCAACACAAAGGGCTTCCAGACAAAGACATCCATGGCCTCCAAGGGCGTTCTTTGTGTATGTCTGTATCAGTTTGTGTGTGCGTGAGTGTGTGCACCTGTGTGTGACTGTGTGCAGAAGCCAGAAGTCAACAGGCTACAGATGGTTTCTCAGGCACTCTCTGCCCTGTTTTATTTTTACTGTTTTATTTTGAAATTATGTGTTGGGGTGTGTGTGTGTGTGTGTGTGTGTGTGTGTGTGTGTGTGTGTGTGTACATGAATTCAGGTGAGAGGAAGGTATTGGGTCTCCGGGAACTATAGTTACAGGCAGTTGTGAGCTGACCTATGTGGGTGCTGGGAACCAAACTTGGGTTCTCCGCAAGAGTAATCTGTGCTCTGAACTGCCGAGCCAGCTCTCCAGCCCCTTCACCTGGTCTTTAGTGAAAGGAACCTTCACTGAACCTGAAACTCAGAGATCCAGCTAGAGCAACCCCCGGGATCGCGCCATCTCTGTCTGCCAGCACTGGGGTTACAGGTGCGTGCCAACATGCCCTGCCCCATAAAGGCCGGATGCTGAGCATCCAGGCTCAGTCCTCACGCTTGTGAAGGAAGCGCTTTACTGACCAAGTCATCTCTCTGGCTCTAAAATGGGTATTTCTTTTGTTTGTTTGGCTTGGTTGTTTGTTTGTTTTGAGACAGAATTTCTCTGTGTAGCTTTGGCTGTCCTGGAACTCGCACTGTAGACGAGGCTGGCCTTGAACTCATAGAGATTAAAATGGGTATTTCTTAGAGATGTCATCCTGAACTTCTGGAGGCTGGAATCAGAGATGCCGGGTACATCCTCTCCCCAACCAGCCCTGCAGAGGTCATTGTTTGGCAGCCTCTGACCCCGAAGGATTCTGAGATCTCAGTGGTACACCGAGGCTGGGCAACTTTCCAGAAGAGTCAGACAAACCCTAAGTTAAGTCAGAGCTTAGCTTTCGGTAGCAGCGAATTCTGGTTTTGGTCTCTGTCACCAGAGGTCCTAAAATGGTCCAGATTAGAGAAAAGATCACCGATTCCTATGACCTCACATTCGTCTTCAGCTCATCCTCCTGGGCCTAGAGCTTGTAATGCTAACTAACGTTCTATAAAGATGTATCCCCAGGAGTCCCCAAGTCCCCATTCTGGGGTTACTTCAGCTCTGAGATGACAAGAGAAGATGCCAATTACCTGCTCTTCCAGGACATGCAAGGGAGGACGGCAGTGGAGGCAGGAGGCTTGAGGACCATTCTCCACTACTCTTCCAGCTCCTCCTCTTTGTAGAGCTGGAAGGAGGAGAGAAAACTGTGTCCTTTCTTTCTCTCTGGTATCATCTTTCTTAGAGCTTGTATCTTCGGTAATCCCCTGCAGCCTTCCCCAGACCTGCCTGGAACAGCCCCTCAGGCTCCGGCAGCCTCTTCAGAACGATGAATCAGAGGCCGTTGTTGGGAAATGCTTGGGTGATGTTAAGAGGCTCTATCTTCCGGTCCTCGATGGGGTGAGGTATAGAGGCCCCAGTATTCACATTGTAGACCCCATGGACATGGTTTTTCAATGTTGGTTGCTGATATCATGACCAGCGACTTCTGGAGAGAAATGCTTGCTTGTTGAACGTTTTCATAGTGGATCAGGCATTACACATCCTGAGATCCAAAGATGTAGACGCAGGGAGCGCTGGGGAATCAGTGCTGGTGAGGTCCACATGCTGTCACAGCCCAGCCTTCTTTGGCCCTGGCTTCGCCCCGCTGCAAGCTTTCCCATTTGCACCCCACACTTCTGGCACATTTTCGCCTGGGAATGGGCAGGGAGAACAAAATGAAGGCAAGGCACCCTTGCATTTAGGGGTGAGACCGAGCACTCAGAAGGGTTCAGAAGCTAAAATAACTGGCTGGTCCCACACAGGTGCTGGGGTAAAGGCGCCTGGGCCGTGGAACACGGGAACTGCAAGGTGAGGGAGCCGCTGTCTCGGCAGAACCAGCTCTTGAAGTGTTCCTTCAGAACCTCAGTCTCTTCTTCTGAAGTGAAGAAATGGGTTTGGTGGCCACACCACACTCACAAGACCAACTGTGAGAATGTCCTTTGCCTCCCGATACACTCTTGACAGATGCTAAGGAGCTGGGGGCTACAGCGAAAGGACTTCTTTCAGAGTGCAGACCCAGGCTCCCAGAGCTGCCACTCAAAACCCAGAACGGCTTCCTGAACCTAAAGGCGCCCGAGGCGTCCTTATAGCTTCAGGGAAGAACTTGAAATCCAAATCTGTTTACACGAGTTTTGCTTCTTGTTTTACAGCTTCATGGCAGGTCCAAGGAGCAGAGGCAATACCTTAAGTTTGGATCTTTGCCTCGCAGACCTAAGGGGCACCTTTGAGTTTGTGGGAGGGCATTGTGCGTGGACAGTACCCTCTAGCGGTCAATGTTAGCACTACACCCAGCTGCCCTCCACCAGCCTACGTTGTCCATAGGGGAAGAGGTCCCCCCTTTCCCAACACACATATTCTTTCTCATCTCTGTCTCTCTTCATTTTCATTCATTCATTCATTCATTAATTAATTAATTCATTCATTCATTCATTCATTCGCTTGTTTGTTTGTTTGTTTGTTTGTTTGTTTAGAGACAGGGTTTCTCTGTATAGCCTTGACTGTCCTGGAACTCGTTCTGTAGATCTGGCTAGCCTCGAACTCACAGAGATCTGCCTGCCTCTGTCTCCTAAGTGCTGGGATTAAAGGCATGCACCACCACCTTTCTTTCTTTCTTTAAAGATTATTATTATTATTATTATTATTATTATTATTATTTTGGTGTGTATGTGTATGAGTCTATGGTGTGTGTGTGTGTGTGTGTGTGTGTGTGTGTGTGTGTGCTCATAAAGGCCAGAAGAGGGCATCAGATCCCCTAGAGCTGGAGTTACACGTGGTTATGAGCCACTTGATGTGGGTGCTGGGAACCAGACTCAGGTCCTCTGGTAGAACAGCCAGCTCTCTTAGCCTATAATAAGCCATCTCTATAAATCTAGCATATGTATTTTGTGTTGTGGACTTAGGGAATCACACATTCAAGAAGAAAAGGACAGAATAAGGCCAGAAAAATGGTCCAGGAGCGCGCGCGCGCGCACACACACACGTAAATAAACACAATTTAAAAAGAAACATTGGTGGGACGATGCCTCCTTGGAGGGGCTCTGTTGCCCCTCATCCCAGTGAACAAACAACAGCATCCCGCCAGAGTACCCTGACTCGGGATACTCTCCAGAGGACACGTTGGGTGGTCTCTGTAGCTGAGATCTTGCATAACCAATGCTCACAAGCCTGGCAAAGGTGGCGACAGAGAGATAAGATCGGGGACATGACCGCAGGAGAGGAGTGGGAACATGGTGAGTGGGAGGAGCCCCTAAATTATCCATCAGTACAAGCTGTCAGTGGCCCCGGCCCGTGAATAAATGTATAGGGAGAAGGCAGGGGCCTGGGGGTTGGGGAAAACAGGTAGGGTATAAAAAGGGCCGTGCAAGGGACCAAGGCCAGGATTCTAGAGACCAGATCCCAAAGTGCTCAGGGTCCTGTGGACAGATCACTGCTTGGCAATGGCTTCAGGTAAGCATCCTCAAATCCTGCTGGGTGTGATATGGACCAAGGGGCCCTGAAGATGGACGGGAGGCTTCTAACATGAGTGCAGCCCAACTTCCGCCCATGTTGGGAACAGTATGGGTCCCTATGGGGATTGGGAGAGACTGGCCATTGCTCTCGGTCTTTTCCTGCCCTCCTGTCTCTGTCTAGACTCTCGGACCTCCTGGCTCCTGCCCTTCACCCTGCTCTGCCTCCTCTGGCCTCAGGAGGCTGGTGCTTTTCCTGCTGTGCCCTTGTCCAGTCTGTTTGCCAACGCTGTGCTCCGAGCCCAGCATCTGCACCAGCTGGCTGCTGACACCTACAAAGAGTTTGTAAGTAGAGACGGGTGCCTGCCCAACTGTGGAAGCAGGAAGGGGCAGCCCCCTGCCCGCAGACAACAGGAAGTCATAGGAGGAAACGGAGGGGTTGGGGGTCTCAAGCCAATGCCTTCAAGATGAACAGAAATGGAGTGGGTCCTCCGTCAGGTAGTGATGACAGAGAGCTACACGCTCAGCCTCATTGACCGCTCTTCCTCCAGGAGCGTGCCTACATCCCCGAGGGGCAGCGCTATTCCATCCAGAATACCCAGGCTGCTTTCTGCTTCTCAGAGACCATCCCGGCCCCCACAGGCAAGGAGGAGGCCCAACAGAGAACCGTGAGTGTCCGATCAGGCTTTGTCTGCACAGATCCTGTCTTCTCTAACTGCACTGCAGGCCAGAGACCCCCTTCTCCCCGAAGCTGGGGCAAACTTGGAGTCCCAGGCAGAGGTCACAAGGCACCACACTCCACCCAGTCCTTTTTTCTCAGGACATGGAATTGCTTCGCTTCTCACTGCTGCTCATCCAGTCGTGGCTGGGGCCCGCACAGTTCCTCAGCAGGATCTTCACCAACAGCCTGATGTTCGGAACCTCGGACCGTGTCTACGAGAAACTGAAGGACCTGGAAGAGGGCATCCAGGCTCTGATGCAGGTGAGGATTGGCACTGGGGTGGGCCACCCTGTCCTTTGCCTCTGCCTGGAGCCCAGCTCAGGACTCACCACAGTTCTCTGTTTACCAGTCAGGCCTTGACCCTTGAGAAGGTATCCTTTCTCTAGGTCCTGGAGTAGGTGGGGGTGGGGGTGGGTTGGGGGGGCACAGCTCCCGAGACTCCTCTGCCTCTCTTACCCTCCCTTCCCACTGCAGGAGCTGGAAGATGGCAGCCCCCGTGCTGGGCAGATCCTCAAGCAAACCTATGACAAGTTTGATACCAACATGCGCAGCGATGACGCTCTGCTCAAAAACTACGGGTTGCTCTCCTGCTTCAAGAAGGACCTGCACAAGGCTGAGACCTACCTGCGGGTCATGAAGTGCCGCCGCTTTGTGGAAAGCAGCTGTGCCTTCTAGCTGCACACTACAGCGTCTCCGCTGTCCTCCCCCAGCGCCTCCCTTTACCCTGGCAACTGCCCGTCCCTCTGCTTTGTCCTAATAAAATCAAGATGCATCAGATTGCTTGGCTAGATGTATTTCTATTATGGGATGGAAGGATGGTTTCCAAGAGTCCTAGAAGTCCACCTGTAAGAATCCTGTGAGCTTCTGGACGAGTAGCCCTGAGTTTCTCTGGACCAAATAGAGTCAACACATCACTTTCTCTATTACATGATGAGTCTGTTCCCACTCCACAGTCAAAATCCCAGCTCTCTGTATAGACACAAGCCAACAAGGTCATAGGTCACCTTCATAATGTACTCAGAGGTATTCCTTTCTCCTCCAACCAGAATCAGGAAAGACCAGTCAGTCCCCTGCCCCCAAGATTAGGAAGAAATGAAAATGAGACAGAGGAGCAAAAGGAAAACATCTTCAAGAGAGAAAACATGAGGAAAATCACAGAATTACTGTTGTGCAAAAAAATTTAAGACGGGTTTTCATTTAGTTTGGAAGCTGGGCATGGTGGCACACAACTCTAATCCCAGCATTTAAGAGGCTGAGGCTGGAAGATTGCTGTGAGTTTGAAGCTAGCCTAGTCTACATAGTGAGATATAGGTTAGCTCAGTCTATATAGCAAGGCTTTGTCTTAAACAAAAACAAAACAAATGGGTTTGGAGCAACCGGAACCAGCAGGTCTGAATTCTGAAGTAGGGGAAGCGGGTAGGAGATGGATTCTAAGAAGGGGATCTCCATAGTCATTTCAGTGGGTCCCAGGGAGGGCCTGAGGGACGGCTCAGTTGGTCCTTGGCTTGCCAGCATGAGGACCTGAGTTCAGTTTCCAAAATCTACGTTACAAAACAACAACAACAACAACAACACAACAACCCCTGAGGGGGAGGCAGAAACAGGCAGCTAGCTCCCCGCTCACTTGGTGAGTTCCAGTCCAGTGAGAGACCTGCCTGTCTCAGAAAGCAGTGCCCAAGGATGGTACCTGAAGTTGTCCTCTTGTATGCATAAGCACGCACATGTATGTGTACTGCACTCACAGGAACACACACACACACACACACACACACACACACACACACAAATAGGCATCAGATAGAGAAACACAGAGGTGATGTTTTAGCCCCTGGGTGAGGATAAACCACAGTTGACACTTGGCTTCCTTGTGAGAGAGGGCTACATGATGGAAGGCAGGGGCCTGTGTATCATGAAGAACTGAGGGCCTAGTTAAATGTGGGCTCCTCTGACCTTGTCACCATTTACCATGGAGGAATAGGTCTGTCTCTAAAACCCTCTGAGGTGGGGACATCCAGACATGTATGTGAAATGTAATTCTCAAACATTGGAAGTGAGTAACAGACGGAAGACATTTTTTTTTTTTTTTTTTTTTGGTTTTCCGAGACAGGGTTTCTCTTGTGTAGCTTTGCGCCTTTCCTGGATCTCACTTGGTAGCCCAGGCTGGC